GAAACAAAACCTTTTCTATGAGCATTCAGAGAGTGACTATTTTGGGCTTCATTGGCCAATAGGTAAAAGCAAAGACATTATATAAATATTTATATAATAAGGGAGAAAACAAATTTCTACAAATTTTTAATTCATAAAATTCAAAATATAATAATAACTGAGAATGTTTTTGCTTGTAATCCAGGTCTACTAAAGAGAAGGAAATTCTTTTTTTTTTGGAGAGGTTTTTGCTACAGGGCGTGTGCACTCGCCAGAGAGACAGAGACAGAGAGATAGAAAGTGAGAAATCACCCCCCAGGGGGGATGGCCACACCACAATTCCTTCTTCTCCATTCTCCTCTTGGGTTCTTGGGCACGCATGCACATGCGCCTGGCGTGAGTTTAAGCCACCGGGTCCGGGACTTGAACCACAGTCGACTACGTGGGAGTTCAGCGACATAGCCATTACGCTAACTGCTGGTCCCAAGAGAAGGGAATTCTTTTGGGTGCAGGATAATATCTTGCTTTGTTGGAGTTCAGTGTTAGTATTTCCTATTGCAAACGTTTATCTGTTAATGTTGGACTACAATAAGAGTTTACGTATTTATCTTTGAAAATGTCTTTTCATTCAGCTAGGTACTGCCCAATAATGACTACAACCTATGAGCTTATGATTTTATAAATATATGAGCTTATGATTTGTTTGTTTTGTTTTGTATAGGGCGCATGTGCTTGCCAAAGAGGGGAGAGACAGATAACGAGAGAGGGAAAGTAAGAAATCACCCCCCACCCCAGGAGGAATGACCATGCCATAACCCCTTCTCCTCCCTTCTCTCGGAATTTTGGGTACACATGCACACGTGCTAGCATGATTTTTAAGCCTTTGGGTCCGGAACTCAAACTATGGTTGACCATGTGGAAGTTCAGCACCTTAACCACCATGCCACTTGCTGGCCCTGAGCTTATAATTTTAATCAAACCCATAAACAGAAGGTTTTTATAGACTTCTATTAGGTTCTTCTCAGGTTATTGGCTGGTTAGCATGCTGTATATTTCCGCTAAATCACTTATAGTTGATGATTTGGTAGAAGCTCCTCGATGGTATAATTGTATTTTTTTTTTTGAAGAGGTTTTGGGTATAGGGCGCATGCGCTCGCCAGACAGACAGAGAGAGACAGAGAGACAGAAAGCAAGAAATCACCCCCCAGGGGGAATGGCCATGCTGCAATCCCTTCTCTTCCATTCTCCTCTTGGGATCTTGGGCACGCACGCACACGTGCCCGGCGTGAGTTCTAAGCCACCGGGTCCAGGACGTGAACCGTGGTCGACTACATGGGAGTCCAGTGACATAGCCATTATGCTAACTGCTGGTCCGTCCTGTATAGTTGTATTTTGAAATATGGTTCTTTTACACTTGTTTTGAGTTACAAAAGCCACCACTGGAATGTGGGAAATATCCATTGCAACTTTGTGCAGAAATGAAAGTCCCGCTTCTTATTTTAACCTTTGGCAGCATAGGAGGTATATAAACCAGCTCGGCATTACTTTGTAATTAAAACAAGTCATTTGTTTGTTTGTTTATTTACTTATTTATTTATTTTGGAGAGTTTTTTGCTATAGAATGTGTGTGCTCTCCAGAAAGACAGAGAGAGACAGAGAGACAGAAAGCAAGAAATCACCCCCCAGGGGGATGGCCACGCGGCAGTCCCTTCTCCTCCATCCTCCTCTCAGGATCTCGGGCATGCACGCACACACGCCTGGTGTGAGTTTAAGCAACCGGGTCCGAGAATTGAACCTTGGCTGACTACATGGGAGTCCAACGACATAGCCATTATGCCAACTGCTGGTCCCATGTTAAGATTATTTTTTAATTTGACCAAAGAGAGACAGAGAGAGAGAAGGGGAAAAAGTAAGCTTCCAGGTCCAGGACTTGAACCGTGGTTGGACATGTGGTAGTCCAGCCCCTTTAACCACCATGCCACCTGCTGGCCCCTAAAGTGATTATTAACATTTGCCAAATGTAAAAATATATATCTGTGATCTGATGCAATGTGTGGGCCTTGTTTTGATTCAAATTTGACCATACCAACTCCCCAAAATATGGAATAATCAAAGAAATGTGATATATTAAGGAATCGTTCTTTTTTCTCTTTCTTTCTCAGAATGGTAAAGGTATTGTGGTTATATTAAAAGACAAAAAATGAATTATTATATCTTAGAAATACACACTCAAATATTAAAGAGTGAAATGATATAATTTCTGGATTTATTTTAAAATGATTAAGCCGGGGCCAGCAGGTGGTATGGTAGTTAAGGTGCTGGACTCCCACATGGCTGACCATGGTTTGAGTCTTGTACCTGGTGACTTGCTTTCTCGCTTTTCCTCTCTCTCTGTCTCTCTCCTGTGAATCAAAAATAGCAATAACAATAATAAATAAAAGTAAAGAAATAATTTTTTAAAAATAAAAATAATTAAGCTGGGCTAGCCCCATAGCCTATGGTTAAAGAAGTCAGATCCCAGATGGCTGACTGTGAATTGAATCCCAGCTCTGAAGGCTTGGAAAACACACTAGGCACATGTACCTGTATGGCCCAAATCCCAGCTGGATAGAGAAATGGAAGAGAAAGGATTGCGGTGTGACCATACCCCAGTAGAAGGTGCTTTCTCCCTCTCCCTCTTTGTCTCTCTGCTGTCTCTGAGAAGCAATGCACCCTCTGACAATTAATTTTTTTTTTTTAATAAAAAAAGACAGAAAATAATTAAGCTGGGCCAGTCAGTGGTGCAGCAGTAACACCACGTCCCGCAATGCTGGAGCCATATGGGAAGGTATCGGGTTTGTGCCCTGAGGCCTCCTGAAGCATGCTGGGTTCACATGCCTGCGATAGGGGCTAGCTTAGGCTGGGAGTGGACTAGGGCACAAAGACCCTGTTGGGGTGCCTCTCTCTCTCTGTCATGAAAGAACACAAATAAACAGACTTTAGGGACCAGCAGATGGCATAATGGCTACTACACTGCCCTCTCATATGGTTGGCCATGGTTCTAGGCTTGGTGCCAGTGACTTGGAACTCACGCCGGGGGCATGTGCATGTGTGCCCTAAATCTCAAGAAGGGAATGCAGGAGAAGGGACTGTGGTGTGGCCATCCCTTGGGAAGGGGTGATTTCTCATTTTCTGTCTTTGTCTCTCTGGCAAGCACATGTTCCCTATAGCAAAAATCTCTCTTAAAGCACACACACACACACACACACACACACACACACACACAACTGAAATAATGAAGCTGATTGGCAAGGTGGGAGGGGTCGGCTGAAATGAGATTGGCCACATACTGCCCATTGCTTACAGTGAAGATGGGTACACGAAGTTCATTATTCTATTTTGTGTGTGTTTGGAAATTTCCATGATAGAAAGTTAAAAAAAAAAAAACTTAAGAAAGAAATAAAAATTGCAAGCAGTTGAATGTTAATTTAAGAAAACCAAGTAGTCTGTTCTGTACACAAGATCCATCAAAAATACCAGTCAAACGCAGACTGAACTGCTCTGACTTTTCCCAGGCTTCCAGAGGACAGCCCTGGGGTGTGTGTGTGTGTGTGCGTGTGTGTGTGTGGGGCGGGGGGGCTTTACAGGAAACAGCTGCTTTACACAAAGCTACTTTGTACCAAGGCAAACAGGTGGCCTTGAGAGCTGACTCGGTCCCCATGCCGGCCTAGGCTTTGCTGAAGGCATTCTCTAGGAACTCTCTTCATTTTCGTAGGGATGAGGCAACAATGGCCAGCCCGTTGCATCGGCGAGGTTCTGAGGCTGGACGAGGCACCTTGCCCACCAGCCATCTCTGCGTGAGGGAAGAGAGATCCGACTCACTGCAGGGTCTTGCTTAGGTGGAAAGCCGAGGTCCCCTCTTCCTAACTCACGTGCCCCACGGCAGGCCTGCTGCCTGCGGTCGCATTTGGGAGAGCACCATCTGGTCTCACCTACTCTAATCTTTTTTTCTAAGGTCATGGAAGAGATTGCTTCCCAGGAGAAAAATATCACAGTTCTTGAAAAAGCCATTCTGGATCAAGAAGGGCCGGCCAAGGTGGCTCACACGCGCCTGGAGACCAGGACACACCGGCCCAACGTGGAGCTGTGCCGGGACGTGGCGCAGTACAGGCTGATCAAGGAGGTCGATGAGATCACCCACAACATCGCGAGGTAGGGTGGCAGCCGTGGGCCCAGGGACTCTGGCGCCTCTGTCTAACCCAGACCGCAAGCAGGGGCGAGGCGTAGTGACTGAAGCCTGCTGGGCTAGGTGGGTGGCGGCTGGAGTCTGTAATGTTTCGGGGGCTCCTACCTGGGGGCAGTTTCTACTAACTGCAGCCAAGATCGTTGCCATGCAGGACATGGATCCCAGTGTTTCCAAAGAAGCCCACCTCCATCCGGCTAGTTAAATCCGTAGTCACAGTGTTAGCATTTCATAGAGGTGTCCATGCTATGGATCCAGCCCAGGCCGCCAATCTGAAATCTCTGCTTTAAGGAGGAGAGGGGGCAGGAAAAGTGCATTAACCTGGCTCCCACTTTGACCACCAGAGAACTTTATTTATTTATTTATTTTTTGGGAGAGGTTTTTGCTATAGGGCACATGCGCTTGCCAGAAAGACAGAGAGATACAGAGAGACAGAAAGCACAAAATCACAACCCCCCTCAGGGGGGATGGCCATGCCACAATCCCTTCTCCTCCATTTTCCTCTCAGGATCTTGGGCATGCACGCACACACGCCCGGGTTGAGTTTAAGCCACTGAGTTCAGGACTCGAACCGCTGTCAACTATATGGGAGTCCAGTGACATAGCCATTACGCCAACTGCTGGTCTCTACCAGTGAACAGAACATTTTTTTCTCCTGAAAAAAGCAGTTAAGGGGACCAGCAGTTAGCGTAATGGCTATGTTGCTGGATTCCCACGTAGTTGACCACGGTTCGAGTCCTGGACCCGGTGGCTTAGACTCACGCTAGGCGCATGTGCGTGCATGCCCAAGACCCGAGAGGAGAATGGAGGAGAAGGGATTGCGGCGTGGCCATACCCCCTGGGAGGTGATTTCTCACTATCTCTGTCTGGCGAGCGCATGCCCTATAGCAAAAAAAAAAAAAAAAAAAAAGCAGTTAAGGTGGCTGGATCTCACATGACTGACTGCACAGTTCAAGTCTCAGACCCAGTGACTTGAAAAACATGCTGGGCACATGCATGCCCAAAATCCTGGGAGGAAAATGGAGAAAGGAGTGTGGCACGGCCACTGCCCCTAGAGGACGCTTCTGCACTGTCTCTGTCTCTGGCGAGTACACACACCCTCTAGCAAACTGTAAAAAGGCAATGCAGAGCGAGAAATGACTCCCTTATGTTCTTGCCCTCCTAGATTAAAGGAAACCTTAGCCCAAGCTCAGGTAGAGCTGAAAGGGCTGAGCCGCAGACAGCTCGGCCTGCAGGAGGAGATCCACGTCAAAGAGAACACCATCTACATCGACGAAGTGCTCTGCATGCAGATGAGGAAGTCCATCCCGCTGCAGGAGGGGGAGGAGCACAGCGGCTGGGCCGGAGGCCTCCACCCCGACGCTGTCTGCTAATAGTAGGGCTTGGGCAGATTCTCATTAAACACGTAGTCGTAAAACCACAGCCCCCAACTCTCATTTCAGGCTGGCAGAACTTTCTGTCTGCAAGCTGCTTCCTCTTGGCTGGGACTCCAAGCCTGCTCAGGGCTGAGATTTAACCTTAGCGACAAAGTGTATTCTGCTGCTGCTGGGTGTGTGTGTGTGTGTGTGGGGGGGGGAGCTGCTGCACCAGTTACACTCTGTGTATTCTGAACCAGTTACACTCTGTGTATTACTAGAGGCCACTCAAACAATATCACAAGCCTTGGAGAGGAGTTCAAGACATTTTAGTTCCCATTCATTTCAACCAAGCCCCAGGCTAGACGCCCCTCCCCCCCCATGCAGGCCATGCCCACCTGACTCCTAAGACGGCATGCAAATACCTCTGTTGGCTCCCAAACCTCCTTTTCATCAGAAAGCAAGGTGGTGACTGCTGTCTGAAGCCTACCTGGCTGTTCCACGAGAAGGTCAGAGATGACAGAAAGGACAGAGGGGCCGTGCATATGGTTATGGGGATATGCCTATAGGTGTCTTTCTCTGCATCTTTCTCCTGAGACAGGAAGGATGGGGTCAGGCCAAAGGGCCCTCCAGCTCTTAAAAATCCAATCCAGTGGCAGGGGATGAGGAGCGCAGGAGCAGCTTCCTGTTGTGGGCCATGGGATAGTAAGGCTGTGGCCTCTGGCTTGCATGCTGGAGGAGGACGCTAACGGGCACAGTGGGCCTGGTGTCAGCTGGGGGTGACAGAGTGGTAGAGGTGGCTGATGGAGGCTGCACCGCTGTGTGCACACCGCGGAGCTGCGGTGTCGGAATTGCCATCGTGGGAGAGAAGTGGCCGGCATCTCTGAGCTCCAGGCCAGCCTTCCCCGCTACCTGCAAGTGCAGCCTCCGGCGCCACCTTGCGGTCAGAAGTTTTACATTTTTTCTTTCTTTTCCTGAATATAAAATTATATTCAGAAGGTGAGTTTGGTGTTGGCTTTCAGACCAATTAGTAATCATTGGAACTATTCTTTTTTTAAATTTTAAATACAGAAGTAACCGCAAAAGGAAAGAAAAAACAACTCCTATTCCTGCCATCGATTTGTCAGTGGTTAAGAGTGCAGGTTTTGAGGCCAGCATGTGGCGTGGTGGTTAAAGGTGCTGGATTCCCACATGGCTGACGCCGTTTCAGTCCTGGACCGGGCAGTCTGCTTTCTCGCTTCCCATCTCTTCTCACTCTGTCCGTCTCTGGTCAAATTTAAATAAATACATTAATAAAGTTGACTTATTTTTATTTAACTTTATTTATTTATTTATTTTAATTTGATCAGAGGAGGACAGAGAGAGAGAGAGGAGGGAGAGAAAGTGGGGCCACCTGCCAGACCCAATAAGAAAAAATAAAAAAAAAAAAAAAAAAAAAAAAAAAAGGAAAGAAATGCAGAGCCTTAAATGCTTACTTAAAGTTCTTTAAAAAAAAAGTAAAAGAGTGTAGGTTTTAGAGTCAGGCATCGTGAGTTCCAGGTCTCCAATTTCCCTACGTCAGGATTATTGGGGTCGAACAAGATGGCCGGTGTAAAGGGCTCCACGCAGAGCCTGTCTGCTGGGGGAGGGGCATGCAGTAAACACGAGCATTCCGATGCTCCCCGCCCGTACACCGGCATCACCTCTGCTCGCTTTCCTACCTTGCTTGTACACGGAAGCGGTTCTCCTTGTCGCTATAGCCTCTCCGTAATTACTTTAAGGACTGCACACCTCTTCAAGCTTTTCGCCAAGACCATTTCCGTATACTAGGTTGTTAGAAATGCCATGACGTCGTTTTCTACGTTTTTCTATGCAAAAATGTGTCCTGACTTTCCCGACAAACCAGTATTTTCGGTCTCTTTTCCCAAGAGAGCTGTGCATACCACCGGTGGCCTTCTGCTGAGTTGCCACAGCTCAGGGCCACGTCGGGGTGACCATCAAAGGAGGACCTTGGCCATGGGAAACTGCTCCCGCATTCCTTCATCCATCCATCCTGCTGACCTTGAAGGAGCCCCTCCTGTGCATGGGGTGCATCATCTTACACCCTCCCACGTGTGGAGTGGCTCCGGTGCTCTGCACGGACATTAGGTCCCCGATTGCTTATTGGACACTTGGTGGTGTAGGGCACAGCATCAGCCTGGGGGTGGGGGGTGGATGAGAAACCTAGATTCTAGTCTGACATTGCCAGAAAGCCCTGCCCCTGGCCAGGTCACCTGTAAAGTAAGAGAGTTGGACCAGACAGATGTCCCAGGCCCCACCCTGTCTCGGAGGTTCTCTGAACCTGGCTGTCTTGACCCACGTGTGGTAACTTGGAGCACAGGCAAATGCAGGACTTGGGCCTAACTTCTAGGAGGTTGAGAATCGAAGTGTCCCTTGGTCCAGAGAGCTTTGCTGTCAACCAGGGGGTTTCTAATCTGAGATGGAGAAACCCGTCAGAAGCTGAAAGCATCGGCCGATGCCCATCCGCACCAGAACCCGACCACCTAGGGAGTGGGCAGCACCCCTCAGAGTATGAGCAAATAGGAGCCTTCCCATGCCCTGATCAAGGGGAGAGCTCCCACCTCAAACACTGGGAATTTCTGGGAGCTCTTCTGCTCCAGGTAGGAAGGCTCAAAATATCCTTCCCCAGCTTACAGGGCAGACCCCAGAATTACAGCTAACTTAACAGGGTTATGAGGTCTGTCCCAAAGAACGTATACAGCTAATAGCGTTCTAGGGAGCCCCCTTTCTGTGACTGTGGCTCTGTGAGGCTAGCCGGCTTAGTCGTTAGTTCAGGGCGTAGGCTCTGCAGTTAGGCGTGGTTCAGACCATCTTCCTCGGGTGTGACCGAGGATAAGGTTATTCAGCCTCTGTGAGCCTCCGTTGTCCCCTCTAAATAAAGTAATGGGGCCGGCAGATGGTGTGGTGGTTAAGGTGCTGGATTCCCAAATGGCCAACTGTGGTTTGAGTCCCAGACCTGGCAGCTTGCTTTCATGCTTTCCCTCTTTTTCTCTGTCTCTCTCTGATCATATTAAAAATAATAATAATAGGGATCAACAGTTGGTGTAGTGGCTATGTCGCTGAACTCCCATGTAGTTGACTGCGGTTCAAGTACTGCGGTTCAAGTCCCGGATCCGGTGGCTTAAACTCACACTGGGCGCGTGTGCGTACGTGCCCAAGATCCCGAGAGGAGAATGGAGGAGAAGGGGTTGCGGTGTGACCATCCCCCTGGGGGTGATTTCTCGCTTTCTATCTCTCTGTCTCTCTCTGTCTTTCTGGCGAGCGCATGCACCCTATAGCAAAAACCTCTCCAAAATAAATAAATAAATAAATAAATAAATAAATAAAAATTAAATAATTCTTTTAAAAATTAGTAAATGAAGTAATAGAGCCCAGATCTGTGAGATAAAGCATATGAGAGTCTCAACACAGTGTCCGACGTGTTGTTTTTGTGGGAAGATCTCACGTGGCACCTACATATTTCATACATGAAATCTGGCCTTAGCCCGTGTTTCCTCAGGGGCGTGCGTGGTTGGCCCTCGGATGTGAAAGTCTTTGCAGCTACTGAACACGTCCACTCTGTTCATACCACTTTGATTGACCCAAGCCAGGTATCTTTTCAAGGTAAAACCAAAGCTTACTCTTAGACTATAAGAACTTTCGTTTCTAAATGCCATCATGGAAATTGAGAGTCATTTAAATTGGAATCTTCTTTAGGTAGAAGCAAAGTTGAATTTGTCTGTAATCTCTATCATTCTAAGAGACCCAGGATCAAAGTTATCCATCTTCAGACGGTAGGCTGGTAACAATGAATGGGGACACTCCAAGTATTGCCGTATTCTGCACACCGGGCAGACCCCAGGAAGGTTGGCTCTACCCGGGTAGTCAATCTAAACCCTCCTGGGTTCTGTGGATCCCATGGATGGCCTTGTCCAGAGAGCCCATGTCCTGTCACCTGCTCCCTCCACCACCTCTCCAGCCTGTTCTAGGGGTGTCAGAGGTGGAGCCACTCTCTCAGGGGATCAGGATCATATTTGATTAACAGTAACAAGCAGAGGGGCCAGCAGTTAGCATAATGGCTATGTCGCTGGACTCCCGTGTAGTCGACCGCGGTTTGAGTCCTGGACCTGGTGGTTTAAACTCATGCCGGGCACACGTGCATGTGTGCCCAAGATCCCAAGAGGAGAATGGAGGAGAAGGGATTGCGGCGTGGCCATCACCCCTGGGGAGTGATTTCTTGCTTTCTGTCTCTCTGTCTCTCTCTGGCTTTCTGGGGAGTGCACCCTCCAGCAAAAAGCTCTCCAAAAAAAAAAAGAAAAAAGAAAGAAAGAAAAAGAAAAGAAAAACAGTAACAAGCAGAGTTCTTATATCCCACTATTGACAAGCGTAGGTGCTCAAGGCTACTAAGCAAGAAATTAATAGGAACACTGACATTGGATTCTGAGCTCCCTGCCACACAGAACAAAGTACCTGATCATGAACTGAGCTGCCGTTTCTCTCCTGGAGGGCGGCAGAGACCCATCCTCACAGCCACCGGGATGTGCCAGCCAACCCACTGGTCTCTTGGGCAATGAGTCTTCTGTTGAGGGGAGGAGGAGGAAAGGTGGCAGGGAGGGAGGGGAGATGTGAGGAATGGAGCTCTCCTCCTCAGGTAACTGGTGTTGCAAAGGACATTCTCCAGGATCGGTTGTCCTCCAGGGGAGGCTGGCAGCCCTGCAGTCAACAGTCGTGGGTAGTTAATTTATTCTTACAGGGTGTGATGGCATTGAGGCAAACCAATTCTAGAATGCGGAAAATAGCCCAGAGAACAGGGAGCTCCAAGGAAGAAAGCTCTTTGGCCCTGCGTGAGGAAGTTAAGATACCCAGATCCCACAGGGCCAACAGCTTGAGAAGCGCACTAAGCTCGTGTGTGTGCCTGCCCAAAATCTTGGAAGGAGAGAGAAATGGAGAAGTGATCGTGGCATGACCATTCCCCAAAGGGGGTGCTTTCTCGATTTTTCTCTCTCTGTCTCTCTAGTTTCTTCTCTGGTGAGTGCATGTGCCCTCTGG